TAACATGTCCAATTTAGATCTGCAGTCTTTTATTGAGTTACATGACGGCTGAAGGAAACGGCTAGATTGAGCACCAAAAATTCTGCAGTATTCCACACTCACGTCAGTTCCATTTACGACCGTATTCGCTGCCCCGTTTATTTGCGACCAAACAAATAAGCGACTGTTGTGTTCCCCTAAGCAAAACTGCTACGAACAATATTAAAATCACGTTGTTCTAACAAATATGTACATGATTATTATAAATTATTATAAGAAGTCACTAAAGGGAATCAAAGGCAAGTTTATTGTTCATGATGTGAACGCTTTTGGAGTCCACGGAATGCGAATCCAGGGCAGTGTTCGGACACATCTGATGAACCACCTGACATCTTTCTGAGGGGTCCACCTCTTACCTTTTCCTGCCAAGTCCTGCAACTGAAATTATTTTGAGCACAAAACCAATCGGAATGTGAATCAGAACTGAAACGACGCTCTGGACAGAATCGCGTGGAGCCTTGTGACTGCATCGACAAAATCGATCGATGCAGAAAGACAAAGCGCCACGACAATCTGCCTCACATCCAACGAATCAAACCTCGGAAAACCACATTGCCGCCTTTATAACACACCGTGCTACTGCCTATTGATTGAAATGGCAAACTTGAACCTTCGAACTGCCATCACTCTGACTTATGAGACTTAGTTGAAAGGTCAAAGTTGAACGTTCTCGAGTTCAATCATTAAGCAGCAGCACGATGTGTTATAAAGGCGGCGGTGTCGTGTGGCGTGGTTAGTGAGTCAATAGATGTGAGGCAGAGTGTCGTGGCGCTTTATCTGCATTCAGAGATTTTGCCAGTGCAGATTCGAAGCCCCACATGATTCTGTCCTGAACACCACATTCACTACTTTTCTTATCTACTTTTTGTATAATATTTTTAGTTGTTGAAATGATGCTGAAGAACACGAGAGGCATACCTTCTAGGAAGATGGGTTTTTTCTTGCCGTGTATTTGATAAATATGTATTGTATCATAAGTTCTTGAACATGATGAAATGCTTTCCAACATCAAATTCTCCACATGGATGCGTGGCAACAATTGTCCAATCACCCACGTTTGGCAAATGCTTCCTCAGGATCAACACAGTCCCAGAGCACTACCAATGTTCCTTTCTGTTTCCACTGGAAATGATTCGCAAATTTCAACTAGGGTTTTAAATGTGCAGCTTATTATGGCCTTTCCAGCGTGATACACTCTACCCACTTCGATCAAACTATTCGCCCTACTTGATTTAAGATTGTTATGATCTGATTCAATTCCATTCTGGGCTGTTTCAAGATTAAAATTCTGAAGATATTCGGACGCGTGGTTATGTGAATACATACGGTAACAGATTGGGCGTGGGTTACAAATGCTGTTGATGCTTGAGTTTCTTTTCCTGCCGATTCTTTGAACTTTAACGCAGCTCAATGCAGGACTGCATTTCGAGGTCTAGGGTTGTCCTTTTGTGGTGCACACCTGGACATAAATGGTTCTGTCACTATGTTTGAGTTGAAAAGTTAGTGACAGTTAGGCAAGGTCAAGCAGAAGAATTGAGAGATGGCAGCTCTGAATTCAAGTATGCAAGCGTGTTGAAGTAGCAACTGGTGAAGATAACTACGTTTAGTGGAAACGGAAGTAAAGGCGCAGTGTCCGTTGAAATGCATTTTATGTTTTGCCTCAACAAATATGTGGAGGTGTCTGCATGTAGTCGATGCTTCAACAGACTATTTGAGTAGGACATTAACTTGACTCGCATGAATTGCTTTCCTGTAATGAGCCACTTCACGGCTGAAGAAAACATCTAAAACGAACGCCGCAAATTCGACAGTATTCAAAGGAAATGTCTATTGTGTCTGAAAACTTGAAATTCGACAGTATTTGTAACCCACGTCAAATCCACTCTACATTGAAAGAGCACGGTTACATAGCTCCACCATTTCTACTTCTAAACTTCGAAAAAAGAAACTAATAAGCTAAATGATTTTGTGTAAACATCTACAGACAACTTGGAAGCAAATTATTCGTTTATCCGTGAGCGCTTACTTACACAGCGAATTTCGGCACCACAGACATTCAAATCGTACTAATTAGGCTAATCACCTGTCATCTTCGCTCTCTTGCTTCTTTTAGCATGGGTGCTACAGCTACAATACTTGGTCACAAAAAATATCGAACAGCAAAATAATCGATCAATAATCAATCGGCTTATTGATCGAACTGCCGAACTTTAACCTTTGAACTGCCACCTCTCTGTCCCACGAGACTTGGTTGCTTTCGCAAACGCGCGTGCTCACCGACAATAGTGCTGCCGCTAAACCGTTTTTACAGAAGTGTGAATGCAACTGGCCTGGAAGCTGCTCACCAACTGACACAACCTCCTCACAAAAACGAGTTGCCGTTGTCTCACTTTCTATGAAAACTAAGCCGACTGTATAATTTACGCTTTGGTTAAGACAGATATCGCACGTGCGAACTAGTTCCACCCTGGCTGCAAGAACCAAATGAGGAAACTTGAATGAATGTTCCCAAGAACAAGCTCTTAAACTCGATTTGTACCCCATATGATCAAGCACAATTTGAGAAGAATCCACCTCCAGTCGATTCAAACTAAGTCGACATTGCCAGATTCGCTACCAACCCAAAGAGGGAAGTCAGCATCTTGGCTTAAAATGGCAAATACGCTTTAATGCATTCAATTTTTGGAAATAGCATCTTTATTTTCATCCGTCGTGGTGTTTTGACAGCTCAATTGATTTGACCCCTGCAGACAGCTAGCTTCTAGAGCGTCAACGCATGAAGTGATTAACGTGTGTTAAGAATGGGAAATCAGTGTTTACTCAGATTAACCGAATAGACATGTTTCACTGATTGGGAAAATGGTCGCACGCTGAAGCTTCAATTTGGATTTCGACCTGATGGTGGGTTGCAACACGTTCCGAGGTAACGTAACTAACACGATTATTAAATAGTTTGACATTAGCGAATCGACAAAGAACTACTTAACGTGACGAGATGCGGAGGTGACACGGAAATTCCGAACCCGACATTGGCTGCAGGAGTGCTCTTGCCTTTGCACTGCATTCCATGCTTTGTCTATATTAATCACGCCGACGAAATGATAGATTCGATGCCGCTGCTAGGCTGAAATCTGCTTCTATTTGTCTCGTCTTGCTTCCTGAGCCAGCTAATGTTAATCCACTTCAACGCGTCAGCTTTCTTACCAGGTACAGTGAACACAGGCAAAATCTACTACCTTGTCCTTAATGTACACTTCAAGTTACAACTTACGCATCGCGATTTCAGTGTGTGCCGCATGACAAAACAAGGGATTTGTCTCGCCTAATGACTGGGTTTCAACAATAAATAAAAAAAATTTGTTGAGCTTCGAGGTGTCGGAGTACTTCAGATTTCGTGATCAAAATGTCACCATAAACACTGTTAGTCAAAGTAAATTCGTCAATGGACCCCCCTTTTCGTAATTGGTATAAAAGAAACGACTTGTCGTAATCTCACAGTGACGTGAAAAGCTGTAACGCTCAGCACGTGGACATGCTCACCAAGCTTCAGCGAGCGCGAATTTAATCGATAATTTCGAAATCATGGCACAGCGCACGTAGCCAAGTTCGTTTATGTATTTCAACATGATGTGTTACAATAAAGACTGAGGCCTGGTGTCGCTAAATGATTACAGAAAGAAGTTGCGCTTGATGATTACGCTCTTATCTACATATCAAACAACATCCATGTTAGTCGTCTGCTCCAGTGTGTGCTTTTCACAAGGGTTTCCGTTCAATCATCTGTTTGAAACCGTAATTTTATCTACCTTCTAAAGAATCCGGGTTCATATCACGTCAGGCACTCTACTCATACCTTTTGGTTCCTGGCTTGCACCGTGGTGAGCCTGACAAATACGTGAGCTAGGCTATAAACGACGGATTTACGAAAACGCGGAGAAATGTCGTTGGTGTTTCAAAAAAAAATGAAGACTTTATCAAACAAAAGCACATCACTTAAATTGCATATCATCTTATTTCACACCCGTTGTCATCCACTTATGAAAAACTTTGCACCCCAATTCCTGTGGCAACCAATTTGAGAAGTGTCATGAAGAGGAGGTTCGTACTTCCGAAGGTGTTTACTTCCGTGAGCCAAGCTCACTTACACCTTCAAACCACGAAGTAACACCAACCAATGTGATGGCGTGCAAGATTGTCGGCGGTACAATCAGCTATGCAAGCGGAGGGCCGATCAAATGTGCTGAGTCGATGGTGAGTTGCGGACGTGGCACACGTCTCGCATTATCTTGATGTCCCTTACTTTCGCTGCTTTTGCATTAATATTCAAGTACAAGTATTATTTGTTCTAATTTCTATTGTAGAGATATTAAATCTGTGTTGGTATTTTACGAATTTGAATGTGTTGAAATTCTGCTGTGCCTTTAAACAATTTGCATGCTTTGCTAATCTCAGTAAACCCCTGATGCAGCAGCACTAGCATTAGCTGCAGTTATTTTATCATTTTATCGACTGATATAATATGCTTTAATGCATTTTTAAAACCTTGATTTCTGATGCATGGTTCAGTGATTGGCGACGTCACAGCGACGCTGGATGACGGGTGTGGAGGGCGATGTTGCATGTTCTGGTGATGTTCTTGACGCTGCCTTCAAGAAACCGATGTAGACGTTCAGATGGCATGGTTGAAGCTCCACGAGAACAGGCTGCACGTGGACTGATCACATTTAATGTTATCAGCAGTGCTGAACACGGCTGAATCACTGGCCTGCAGAGGTAATGCGTTTGGTTTGTACTTTGATGTGGTGGTGTTGACACTAGCTGGGGTCTCCTTCCATGTGGACGCGGTGGCATGCCGACTTCCACGCGGATACTATGGGGGAAGAGATTGACACGATGTTTGAGTAATGAGTCAAGCAGGCTGACGGTCTTATTTTGCCTTCAAATGTGTGCCTAATTGCAGCATGCACGTCATGGATGAGCATGGACACATGACGCAGGCCGTCACTGGATCATGTGACCGTGACTCCTCCACAGCAGCCAGCTGTGCATACTCACTACAGGAACCTCGTGATCTCTTCACCCATCGTATCGGTGTGCTGGAAGGCATGCCGTCTGCGTCACCATGGAAGTATGTCGTTGCTATTTGAAACACCACCGCAATCATGAAGTACAACCGTGAAACGACTATGCACATTGCGTAGGATAAGTTGAGTGAATGCAGTTGGATTAATGACGAAATGTGAACGAGCATTTCGGATCCTGCTATAAGCAGTAGCACAACCCTAGCAACTTCGAGGTCTGTGCATCAAAATTGTGATTTGGCTATTTCACGAATGACGCCTGAGTCATGCCATCTGAATGGATGCAGAGGTCAATGTAAGGCGTGTCAATGAGCACGGGACAAGCTCATCGCCTGGACGAAAGTCAATTGACTGAATGCATCTTCGTGCCGCGTCAGTGAAAAGGGAAGCACGTACTAAATGTCCCGTAATCATTAAGAAGATCTGAATAACTCGCCTAGTATCACACCGCTTGGGAATTGCTTTTCTGTTTCATCTTTGGTAAGTTACTTTTTTGTTCAATTTTCTGTTATAAACACCATCCATTTGACCAAAATCAGTGACTGGACCTCCTGTTCAGAATTGAGAGCTGTAACCACAACTCCTGCTTTTCAATACTATGCAAATTGTCACAATTTCTTTAGTCACGTAGTTAACCAACCTTAATCCATTTCTTAGACTGCAGTACCTTGTCTACTCAGGTTTCATGTCAATTTACTTCCTAAACTGCAGATTGTAAACTTGTTTCACTTAGGACATCTCTGTGTTAATTCTCACAATCTGTCTGTTTACTGAGGAGGCGAATGCAATGTTGGCTGTCATCTGTACGATAAAGCATACATTGAATATCTTTGATCGTTTTAGCGATTGCCTTGAATTCGGCTTCTACTTTCTTAATTGTGCAGAGTGCAGCGTCCACTGACCACAATCAGAACTGATCAATCGAGGTTACCAAGACTTGAGAATACACGCGAGGGTGTTTAGGACTAGGTTTTTTAACAGGGGTAATTGATATCAGTTCACTTTGCACAACGGAATAACACATGGTTGGTAGTGGTCTCCTTGCGAGCATTTCAAACGACGCAGCGAAACAATAACAAATCCAACCTTTTTTAAAATAATCGCAAAAATGCTTCAGGCACACATTTTCCAATTAGCGAACAGCTCATTATGAGTCTATTACTGGTGCTTGATATTCCAGCTTAATGTCAAACCTTGATGAAATTTATCTGTTTGCAGCATGACGCTAAGTGGTTTGCGTAGCTTTGTCAAAACCCAGTGGAAATTGAAGATGCTCCATGGCGTGAATTTAACCGATATTCTAATGGAATGCATTAGCAACACGCCGAAGCTCGTCTATATTATTCCACGTTATGGCGTCATATCTCAGCCTCTCCTTGAACACCGTTTGCCAGGACTAGCAACTCCTCGCTGACCAGCGATCTACTTGCAGCTATATTTGAAGCGTCTTGTTTAAACTGCTAGTTCAACTGTGTCTACCGCATCAACGTGGTTTGCGGGTTTGCGTCATTCTGCACGGAAGTAAAATGGCAATTTGTTTTGCAACTCTACACGCACGAGTTTTGTACTGCTGTGCATATTCAAGTTGATTGTAATAAACTTCTGCAATGCTTGCATCTGTGACTGCTTCTTACCTGATAAATTTACGGGGGACACCTTGCTGGATCCCTATGCCCGCGGTAGCGCTATGAAGTGCATCATGCTCCATTACATTCTTTGAACCAGTCTGGGTGATGCATAAGTGGCGCAGCAAACGCTATCCTAATTGATTCTTGTGCATTTATTGCACACTTAATATATAAACTTTCTTTTGCACACTTAAAATAGTTCGTAGATGTCTTCGTTGTGTATGGTCGGAGCATGTCGATGCAAATGGTCGAAAAGGAAGAGCTTCGTGGACCGCGAACAAATTGCGTCAGTGGTTTTATCTAAAAACTGTTAGGAATGTGATTAAGTAAATTGCAGTCATATGGACACCAACATAAATCAATTTAAGGCAAGTTAATTGTTTAATCCCTGGGCACCACCAGACGCCACAAAATGTAAAACTCCACAGCCAATCACTCAAATTGGTTAGTTAAGCAATAGAAATTGTTGTGCATAATAAAATTTTATAAAGCAAAACAAGACGTGTAATAAACCAAATTATGTGGGGCCTCGTGTCTTTATTGACATGCATTGATTCACTAACCACGCCACACACCTCTATTGTACTACAACCTCCTGCGTGTTGACTCCATCCACAGAATACATTCTGAGTAGACATCAGCATCATCGTTACGTGTAGTACATTTCATGCAAACATTGGCCGCCATTTTGTTGGCGCCAGCACGCTATCTGGAGAGAAATTGGGTATTCTAGTACGATGTACTTACAAAGCGCTGCGATGGGTCTAAACCATTACAAAACTGGGCTTCGCGTTACTGCAATATCATGCTTCACTTAATACTATTCCGGTGAATTCCTCAGCTCTGTTTTAATGACGACTTAGTTAGCAATCAGTGTTGTCGCTGTGAGTGCTTTTCCACCTCACATAGGCAACGTGTGTGAAGTTGTTGCCTCTGCATTTTCATATACCTCGACGTAGTATTTTTACCTATTTGAGACAGCGATATGAGACTCGACGGGAATTTTTCTGCACACCCTACCTCCCATTTCGTCGTAAATCATTGCTACAACTGAACATAATAAGCACAACACAAAGGAAAGTAATGGCTAAACAATGCAAATGGTGTTCTAGACAGAATTGTGTGGGGCTTTGTGACTACAAAGACACAATCTCTCAATGCAGATCGACAAAGCTCCACGACATCCTGCCTCACATCTATCGACTCACTAACCACGCCACACGACATCGACGCCTTTATAACACATCGATCTCCTGCCTATTGATTGAACTGCTGAACTTTCAACTTTGACCTTCCCACTCACTAGAGTGTGCGTGTGTGTGGCTCGGTTGGTGTCACACACACACATGTGTGCATCGATAACAATGCTGACTCTGAGCCGCCCTCAAGCCATGTTCACACTTTCCTGAGGCGGATTAATGGCGCGCACGAGCGTGTGTGGCGCCAAACAAGTCACATGGTATAGTGAGTTGGAAGGTCAAAGTTGAAAGTTCGGCAGTTCAATCAATAGGCAGGAGGTCGTGGTATAAATGCGGCGGTGTAGTGTGGGGTGGTTAGTGAGTCGATGGATGTGAGGCGGAGTGTCGTGGCGCTTTGGTTATCTGCATTGAGAGATTGTGTCAGTGCAGATTCGAAGCCCCACATGATTCTGTCTAGAACGCCACCTTTACTGCTTTTCTTATCTACTTTTGTGCATAACAGTTTCAGTTGTAGGAATGATGCTGGACTACACGAGAGGCATACTTACCAGGAAGATGGATGTGAATCAACCAATTTGTTAACCCAAAAATGGAATTCCTGTCTTTATCGTTGAATTGGGCTTCCCACCTTGCTACATTGCAATTGCAGTGATGTGGGTAGCATCTTCACTATCATTTCTCGAGGTTTCCCTGCAAAATTAGTTCTGAATAGCAATTTCGCATGGTAGGATGGCTTCACAGCCTTGCCTCTTTAACTCAAGTTGACTAAGTTTGAACTGTCGTCGGCGTCTGCGAGTGGTCCATCACGCGATTCATCCAATTAGCATTGCGTGATCAAAAAGGATGTACAATTTGGTGTGGTTTCAGTTATAAATCCAACCTCACGAATGTGATTTTGAGTTTCTAATTTGGAACCTAGATTGGCGGCGTGGCTGTTAAAACCACTTGGAAGATAACCTTGCCCTGGAAAACGCAGCAGCCGAGACCCCACCAACGCGGTATTCTCTTAGCACGAAGCAAAGGCAGCATTACCACCACAATGAAATCCACAATTAGAGTATGGCTGCCAAATCGCAAAAAAGAACTCATTCGAGTTAAGGAGGGTGCACTTTTGACCACAGCGTGCTGTGGTCAACTTTGTTTCAAGGCCGACACCCAGGAGGGTTAAGCGATGGGGGATGAGAGCAGGACGCTGAACGATGTCAAAATCTGCCGATCGCTGTGCACTGAAGCTTACCTAGTGGACTGGCATCGTCGCCCAGAATAAATTCCAATAAAGAGGGATAACTGATTGGACAAACGGCACAGAAAAAGTGCTGGCCGAATTGAAAAAAAAATTAAAAAGATTTTACAGTTGGCGATTTGCGATTACAATTAGAGCAATGGCGTAGCAGGTGCACAGTTTATCATCCAAATTTTTATCGCAATGCGAAGGTCCTTTCGCCAAAGCATTTAGTCTGCAAAACCTGTGTTACGTGTCGGTTCGAAGGTCCTATCAGGTAGATGATTCTGTGGTGGTCACTTTGGTTACGCTGACATTTCATTTTCTTTTGACTTAGTTCCGAATACGGAAATATCGTCGGTTCTCTTAGACGAACACATGGCGTTGTGAATTTCTGATTTGTAGTAGACGAAACCGTGCGTCTGCATTGGCAACTAACACCGTGTCACATTACCGAGGATGCTTGTGAATTATGTTTGAAACGTTGTGTTTCGCAAACCAGGCGACTAACGTTATCTTACCAGCAAATTTTGCAATATTGCCAACATGTTATGCAAAATGAACAAATCATTAAAATGCTCTCCTATCTCCTAATTCAATTTTACTGCATATTAATCGAATTTGTCAAAGCAAACTAATGGTTCAGTTTTATTGGATTCAGCTAAAATAAATGTCCACAGAAAGCAACATCCTATTCAGACTATGCATTCATTTAAACATCTGTTGAATTTGTGGTCACCCCATATCCTTGGCATTCATAACAAGTAGGAATTTCAAAATAATGTTGCCTTGGTGCACCTTCCTTTATCAAGGTTCATTTGCTTGCATACCAACCAACAACCAGCAATGTTTTTGTTCTAAGAAGCTGAAGAGAGATGTCTGTCTACTCGCAAGGCGTGTACAAAGGTGCAAATATGCTAAGAATTTGGGGGCATCAAGCTTGGCATCGTTTGTATTTACATCCCAAAGTTCCATCCACCCAATATGTTGATATACGTGACCACCTGCCAGCAAATTGCATCAACTACCTTATATTTCCGTGTAACCGTCTTGTCAAATCGCATAAGGCAAATTGTGAGGCTTTGATTGTGCGTCAGATGTGTGCAGCAATATCTTTAAACTAGATTTCCTGACCCTCATTAACAGTCTTGATGATAAAATCCAAACTGTATCCTTCTTCACTTCATGTTTATTGCTTTGGGACCATAATAGAGACAACAGATTTTACATTGGCATAAGCCGAATGTACTGCAAAGCACATAAAAAACTTTGAGATTTAAGCTGAATATTTCAAAATTAACCATGTATGATTGTGGAATAAATGATACCAGATGATGTCAAAAAGTTATTTAGATTTTGGAGAACTAAATTTACTCCAATTCGTTTCATAAACACTTGCTATTTTAAAGTTTCTTAAAGTGTAACATTAAATTTGCTTTCTAATGTTGTGAAGTAAAATTATAGTGCAACATTATTAGTGGTTTTGCCATGTCTTGACGTTGTTTTAACGCTTTATCTCATTTTCTTAGGTCAGGTTGTTTACTCGTTCACTTTACGAACTGGCCTTCCGACGATGCAGGTAGAGTCGCGGAAAGTTTCTATCACGCAAGGTGGGTTGCACCTTTACTAAATTTCTCTGATGTTCCATGTGTGCTAATGCGACTATTGTGCCCCATTTAGGTGACTCACATGCATTTATATTGCGCCAGCAGATGGTATGCGGATGCCAGTCATCATGCATTTTGACAGTAATTATTAGTTGCCTGTTTTGCATGCATATTTGTGTTGCATACCACTATATTTTCTAATTCATTTGCTTGTAATTACGTAGAAGGAACTCATCACATAGACGACCGAACATTGACATTTTTATGTATAAATCCAACAAAACGAAAATCAGAACTGATCAAGGTGTTGATATTATTATAAGTTCATGTTGTTGTGCGATGGTTTGACTTGTGCATAATACCGTTCATATATTCGTCGAAAATAGGGAATAACCATTAGCATACCGCGAGTCCAACCGCCGGTCAACTGCACAAACGTTGACGCCTGCGAATCCGGACAGATTGTTGCGAGGAATCGTGTGACCCTAAAAATTACTGTTTTTTGATAGCTGCTTTATTTGCTGGTCTTTTCAGCAGAATGTATGTTGCGTTGTCAACTTGAAGTGCCTTATCTCACTAATTTTATAGCAATTTGTCCAACTCTGCATACAATATTTAACCTTAATAATGCTGTCAACAAGATGATTTGTTTGTAGTCCGTTTAATGATTTCTTTAAATTAAACAAACTTGATCTGGTAATTTAATTTTTATGAGGCTGGATGCTTGGTTCATGTTGAAGAAAACCAGAATTGTGTTT